TCTTCTGTTTGATATTCATAAATTTATCCCATCAATTTTATCTACGAAAGGAAAGCAAACACATTGAGAGCATTTTGTCATCACAGTTGGAAAGAAACTCTAACTAAAGACTTCACAATTGAATGCACCTATTAAATTGTGTATATTATATCTGCTGGAGTATCAAAAGGGATTTAAATAACATTGAACATGACAATCAATAAAGAAAACATTTTTAACCATAGTTCTTATGTTACGCTGGCATCAGCATCTGAGCTCAGATACATGGCCTCTCTAGACCAACGGATGCTACCCCCAATAAATAAGTTACCAAATCGAGCTATCCCTAGACATAGACAGCAGGATAATAACACTGGTCAACTCGAATTTTGTGCCAAGACGCAAAACATCATTTTTCGGCAATTTTCTGAAAATTATCTTAGTTTTTCATGGTTGACTACCGTTTTTGCTGTACTGTAATTGTTCATTTTGGGGGAAAAAAGATCCATTTACGATCTTGGATTATCGCAAAATTTAGTTAATAAAGGTTGTAAAATCCCATCAATTTTCAGATAGTCTGAGTAATTTATGTCAGCCACCTGAAATAAACTATTTTTATAAGGAAAAATGTTTTTGAATCAAAAAAATTTAAAATGGAAGTACCGAATGTTTTGTAATTTATCGACAAAATTCGAAATTTACTGATAAACTTTATCAATAATACACTTTAGTAAACATTATCATTAAGGTGACATAAAAAAATGAAACCCTAAAATCTGTTTGATATTCATGAATTTATCCCATCTCTTTTATGCCTTCACAACGGAAGGAAACCAAACACATTGAGAGCATTTTGTCATCACAGTTGGAAAGAAACTCAAACTAAAGACTTCACAATTGAATGCACCTATTAAATTGTGTATATGATAGCTGCTGGAGTATCATAAGGGGCTTAGATAATATTGAACATGACAATCAAGAAAGAAAACATTTTTACCATAGTTCTTATGTTACGCTGCCATTAGCATCTGAGCTCAGATATATGGCCTCTCTAGACCAACGGATGCTACCCCCAATAAATAAGTAACCAAGTCGAGCTATCCCTAGACATCAACACCAGGATGATAACACTGGTCAACCCGATTTTTGTGCCAAGAGACAAAACATCTTTTTAGGCAATTTCATGATGCTTATTCCAAAAATGACCTTAGTTTTTCATGGTTGGCTACCGTTTTTGCTGTATTGAAATTGCTCATTTTTGGAAAGAAAAAAAAAAGATGAATTTACGATCTTGGCTGATCGCTAAATTTAGTTAAATAAAGGTCGTAAAAGCCCATCAATTTTTATGTAGGCCGATCAATTTATGCCAGCCACCTGAAATGAAATATTTTTATAAGACAAAAATTGTTTTTAAGTCAAAAATTTTAAAATTGAAATACCAAATTTTTCGAATTTATCGCCAAAATTCAAATTAACTGATAAACTTTATCAGTCATACACTTTAGTAAACTTAGAAATTATTAAGGTGACATCAAAAAATAAAACCTTCAAATCCTATCACTTTTATCCATTCACTACGGAAGGAAACCAAGCAAATTGAGAGCATTTTGTTTTCACAGTTGGAAAGAAGCTCCATCTAAAGACATCCCAATTAAATGCACCTATTCCATTGTACATGATACTACTGGAGAATCAAAAGGGACTTAAACAATATTGAACATGACAAGAAAGAGAATATTTTTACCAGGGTTTTTATGTTTACGAAAGTTTTATTTCTACTGTTAGTTTATTAAATGATTTGAAGGAAATACTTGTTGGTCTTGGTATATTTAATTCTGTTATTTTTAAAGAATTAGGGTCTGATTGGTATTGCAAAAATAGTATTTCGTAACAAGCAGTTAAATATTTGTTGGTTTAAATACGAATGGAGAGGTTTCTACGATTTTATTTTGTGAATTATTGCCATCGGTCAATATTATATATATAGAAAACAAATGAAAAAAAATGCTTTTTCAAAAATGAGGCATTTCTGTAACGCACAAACGATAGCTAACCAAAAAAAAATAAGGTCATTTTCAGATTGAGTGCCGTCAAATTAGCTAAAAAAAAAAAGATGTCTGGTGTCTCGATAGCATTAGACTTTTTTTTTTCTTTTTCTTTCTTTTTTCCTTTTTTTCTTTTTCTTTCTTTTTTCCTTGTTTTTCTTTTTCTTTCTTTTTCCCTTTTTTTTTATTGACTAGTGTAAGAAGCAGTCTACCTTAGTAGATTAAATAAATGGTTCAGTTCGAATTTCTTTGAAGATTACTCGGACCAATGGGCGTCTGCTGACATCCGGGAACCCCCGCGAGCAAAATGACGTAATGGTAACAACAAAGACGAGGACACGAGTGAAAACAATGTAAGTAACGATAACTCCTCATCTCAAAAATGCATCTGGGAAATGTTCCCCCCTCTGTCCTCCTCTCTTCTCTCATACACACGTGTAATAAAATGTCCTTTCTCTCCCGACAACTCCATCAGTAACACTCTGTCTGTCTATCTGCCTCTTTCTCTCTCTTCCGCTCTCACCCCTCCCTCAATAATGCATTTCTCTCTCTTCCGCTCTCACCCCTCCCCAATAATGCATTTTCTCTCTTCCGCTCTCACCCCTCCCCAATAATGCATTTCTCTCTCTTCCGCTCTCACCCCTCCCCCAATAATGCATTTCTCTCTCTTCCGCTCTCACCCCTCCCCCAATAATGCATTTCTCTCTCTTCCGGCTTACGGCCATATCACGATGAAACACCAGTTCTGGCAGTATTTTCGAAGTTAAGCAACGTCGAGCTTGGCCAGTACCTGGATGGGTGACCGTTTGGGTTTATCATGCGCTGTGGGAAATTGATGTGCGGGTGGTGCAATTGATAATAGCTCGGAATTGGAAATCGGGGAGCCGAGTTCAAATTCGGATACTGTACTACTACTGTACTGATGCGGCATTCACCCTGGGCGGATTGAGCCGGCTTCTTCCTGTTATGAGAAGAAGATTCTTGGGATAAATTACAGAAGTAGGGTACCCAGGCCTACTCGAGGGTACCCAGGCCTACTCGAGGGTACCCAGGCCTACTCGAGTTCAAATTCGGATAGGGTATTTATATTCACTTACCCGCAGATACCCTTGGGAGAACTATGAAACTACCTCTTCTCCCCCTAGCTATGGGTTAATTAGTAGGACTTGCGTCAGCAGATCATTATTGCCTAAAAAAAAACATTCTTCCGATATGAAAATATTTTGCGGATTTAAATAACCTGCAAAAGTTTGATACGCCGTAACAAATAAATCAATCTTTCTCTTTCACTCTCTCAGTATTTCTCAAACAAGACTAATAATACATTATAACAATCCCTCTCTCTCTCTCTCTCTCTCTCTCTCTCTCTCTCTCTCTCTGACTCTCACGCACGCACGCACACCACCAAAAATAATAATAGTTTTTCTCTCTTTCGTGCCCAGAGCAGAGGCTATGATTTATAAATTCTTTCTCCCTCTTACTCACTATCCCACACATGCTCACCCATACCATTAATAATGCTCTATCTCTGCCGCATGTTCTTAATCTTTCTCCCATTTTCTCTCTCTCTCTCTCTCTCTCTCTCCCTCAGATGCTCAACCGCCCCATTAATAATGCTCTCTCTCTCCCAAATGCTCTCATTCTTTCTCCCGCTCTCTCTCTCTCTCCTTCATATGCTCACCCACCACATTAATGATGCTCTCTCTGTCTCCTAAATGTTCGCATTGTTTCTCGCACTCTCTCTCTCACATGCTCACCCACCCCATAAATAATACTCCCTCTCTCCCACATGCTTTTACTCTTTCTCCTCCATTCTCTCTTAATCCCTCTCTCTCATGCTCACCCGCCCCATTAATAATTCTCTCTCTCTCTCACATGCTCCCTCACATTCTCCCACTTTCTCTCTCTCATGCTCACCGGCAGCTTTAAAAATGCTCTCACTCTTTCTCCCATACACCCTCTCTATTATTTGCTCACCATCCCTCATTAATAATCCTCTCTCTCCCACACGATGTCACTGTTTCTCCCCCTTTCTCTCTCACTCTCCCTCTCATGCTCATCAGCAACATTAATAATGCTCTCCCTCCTAAATGCTCTCAATCTTTCTCCCACCCTCTCTGTCTCTCATATGCACACTCTCTTCATTAATAATACTCTCTCTCCACCACATGCTGCCACTCTTTCTCCCCCCTCTCTCTCACATGCTTCATAAATAATGCTCTCTCTCTCTCTCTCTTTTTCTCTCTCTCACACACCACTCATAAATCTTTCTTACCGTCAGGCTCACGCAATCGGTAATAACAACTATTGTACGCGTTTTCACGCATTCACTTCTTTCTTTCTTTCTTTTTCTTTCTTTCTTTCTTTCTTTCTTTTTCTTTCTTTCTTTCTTTCTTCTTTCTTTCTTTCTTTTTTCTTTCCTTTTTCTTTCTTCTTTCTTTCTTTCCTTTTTCTTTCTTTCTTCTTTCTTTCTTTTTTCTTTCTTTCTTTTTCTTTCTTTCTTTCTTCCTTTCTTTCTTTTTCTTTCTTTCTTTCTTTCTTTCTTTCTTTCTTTCTTTCTTTCTTTTTCTTTCTTTCTTTCTTTTTCTTTCTTTCTTTCTTTCTTCTTTCTTTCTTTCTTTCTTTCTTTTTTCTTTCCTTTTTCTTTCTTCTTTCTTTCTTTCCTTTTTCTTTCTTTCTTCTTTCTTTCTTTTTTCTTTCTTTCTTTTTCTTTTTTCTTTCTTTCTTTCTTCCTTTCTTTCTTTTTCTTTCTTTCTTTTTTCTTTCTTCTTTCTTTTTCTTTCTTTCTTTCTTTCTTTCTTTCTTTCTTTCTCACGCACGCAATGCATACGAACATTATTAATATTACTCTCACGCACGCAGTAGGCTAATAGCACATTCTTTCAATCACGCCTACGCAATCAATATTAATCAGTCTTTCTCTTTCTCTCTCTCTCTCGCAAGCACATGCAAAATTAATAACAATTCTGATTAATAATGATTTCCCCCTTCTCTCTCTCTTTCGCTCTCTCACGCATGCTCGCACACAATACATTCATATTATCTCCGACACAAACGACTTTTTTCTCTCACGCCGATGCAATCAATATACATCTCTCTCCCTCTCTCTCTCTTTCTTGCGAATGCAGACGTACTCTAATAATAATAATAGTTTATATATCCCACCCCCCTCGAACACATTTATAATTAATAATATATATTTTTTCCATACTCTCTCTCCCTATTTCTTTGTCTCTCTGTCATACACGTCCATCCTCCATACTTAAAAATAGTCTTTCCTTCCGTCGGATATATATCTATGAGTAAAAACAAATTTCTACCACATATTTCTCCCTCTCTTTCTCTCACACAGGCTCAAGTAATAATACCCTTTCTGTCACACAACTAATAACACTTTCTTTCTATCTATCACGTCCGGCTTGGGGTTTAGAGAGTTAAAATGAACAGTTGATTTACCCACGCCAAGAAGATTAATGGAGGGTTGTGATGACGAGGAAACACACGCGTAATTTTAACAAAACAAGATAAGGAATTTATTTACGAATTTAACACGCTTGAAGTTGTGTCAGTAGCTCGTTTCCGGAAAATAAATCAGAATTCTTAAAGTCCATAATTTTAACGAATTCTGATTAAGAGGGAATGTTCAGTATCTGTCTATATTTCTGAGATGAGGTATTATGTACACTATTTACATTATTCGGACTATTGTCCTTCATCTTTGTCGCCATATTTATTACAACGTTTCAGCCCTTCATTACCTGTCTATATTTCTGAGATGACGTATTATATACACTATTTACATTATTCGGACTATTGTCCTCATCTTTGTCGCCATATTTATTACAACGTTTTGCCCCTTCAGTATCTGTCTATATTTCTGAGATGAGGTATTATATACACTATTTACATTATTCGGACTATTGTCCTCATCTTTGTCACCATATTTATTACAACGTTTCGCCCCTTCAGTATCTGTCTATATTTCTGAGATGACGTATTATATACACTATTTACATTATTCGGACTATTGTCCTGATCTTTGTCGCCATATTTATTACAACGTTTCGACCTTTCAGTATCTGTCTATATTTCTGAGATGAGGTATTATGTACACTATTTACATTATTCGGACTATTGTCCTCATCTTTGTCGCCATATTTATTACAATGTTTCGGCCCTGCAGTACCTGTCTATATTTCTGAGATATATTGTCTATTTATTTCGGACTATTGTCCTTAGATAATCACAACGTTTCGGCCGTTGTGTATGGACCATCTTCATATTATTCTGAAATGAGGACTATTTACATTATTCGGACTATTATCCTCATCTTTGTCGCCATATTTATTACAACGTTTCGGCCTTTCAGTATCTGTCTATATTTATGAGATGAGGTATTATATACACTATTTACATTATTCGGAATATTTTCCTTATCTTTGTCGCCATATTTATTACAACGTTTCGCCCCTTCAGTATCTCTCTATATTTCCGAGATGAGGTATTATGTACACTATTTACATTATTTGGACTATTGTCCTCATCTTTGTTGCCATATTTATTACAATGTTTCGGCCTTTCAGTATCTGTCTATATTTCTGAGATAATGTATTATGTATACTATTTATATTATTCGGACTATTATCCTCATCTTTGTCGCCATATTAATTACAACGTTTCGGCCTTTCAGTATCTGTCTATATTTCTGAGATGAGGTATTATGTACACTGTTTACATTATTCGGACTATTGTCCTCATCTTTGTTGCCATATTTATTACAACGTTTCGGCCTTTCAATATCTGTCTATATTTCTGAGATGAGGTATTATGTACACTATTTACATTATTCGGACTAGTGTCCTCATCTTTGTCGCCATATTTATTACAACGTTTCGGCCTTTCAGTAGCTGTCTATATTTCTGAGATGAGGTATTATTTACACTATTTACATTATTCGGACTATTGTCCTCATTTTCTTGCCATATTTATCATATTTATTCTCCAGGTATTGAACTCACACTCTTTTGGTCCTGTCACTGGATCTAACCAACGCCTTTATCCTTGTGAACACATGACACAGTGGATAAAGGCGTTGGTTAGATCCAGTGACAGGACCCAAAGAGTGTGAGTTCAATACCCGGTTAAGGCAGTGGAGAACTTGGAGACGAGAATTAAGAGGAGATAACTGACATCCATTAAACATGACACGTGGAACTAGAACAGTCTACCCCAGTGAGCGAAATAAATGGTTCAGTTCGACATTCCAACTACCTAAAGAAGGTCGGAGCGTACAACAGCTGAAACGTTGTGATAAATATGGCGACAAAGATGAGGATAATAGTCCAAATAATGTAAATAATGATGGAATGTTCATACAACAGTTTAAATGATCTTAAACAATATTAAAAAAATGTTAGTTTTTTTTTCTCATAGAAGGGATATTCCATAGTTCCAAAAGTAGATGAAGAGGGATTGTTTGAAATATTTAGCTTTCTTGAATAGTTGAGAGAAAATTTATTGAAGTACCAAAAGGTACGTAATATAATTGGCGATTAATTTTACATTAGCAAGAACTTGAATGCTGGCAATTATCTCTTATCACTTTTCTGTCGTTTTATATAAAAAATAATTTCGCATAGGGTGACTACGTTCTTCTTCTTGACTCAACAGCTAATTTCTGTGAAAACAAGGTTTTCATTGGTCGCAAAACAATTTCACATGGGATCGCGAATTTATATCCTCCTCTTTTTCAGCTCACCGATCAATTTTTGTGAAACAAGCTTATCATTGGTCCAAAGAAAGTTTCCCGTAGGCTCCCGAAAATTATTTGAAGACGATAACATAATTGGCGAATAATGTTACACTGGCAAGAAATTTAACGCTGGTCATGAGGAACTGAAACGAAACCTTTCATATGTCTTTAGACACTCTTACTAATCTAATTTTTCTCCTCATTTTATATCAAAAAGTAATTTCTCATAGGCTTACTACTTTCTTCTTCCTGGCTCAACGGCTAATTTTTGTGAAGACAAGATTTTCATTGGTCCAAAAATCAGTTTCACATAGGCTCACGAATGTATTTCCGTTTTCTTCGTCCGAATTTGAACAGAGCGAATGAAGGGAGTGGATAAAGTGGGTGAGTATTATTTGGCACTCACTACACCTGCACTATCAATAATAATGTTCTTTTTCTCTTACCCAATAACAATCTCTCTCGCACGCACACAAGCGTAATAATATTCTTATCCCTGCAAACGACTAATAACATTTTATTTCTATCATGTTCACACAATCAATATAAATCTCTCTCTCTCTCTCTCTCTCTCTCTCTCTCTCTCTCTGAAACTAGTAATAATAGTTTTTCTTTAGCTCGCATACTCACTGAATCTCTCTCGTACAGAAGTCTATGATTAAAAATCTAGTCTTCCCCTCTTTTTCTCAAACGCAGAGAAACACAAGTAATAATGGTCTCTCTCTCTCTCTCTCTCTCTATATATATATATATATATATATATATATATATATATATATATATATTACGACTGAGTAGTTCGATCCTTGCTGGGTGCCCGAATCTTTCTGCCTTGTGCCACATCTACGTTACGCTTGGAACATCAGGGCACCTTTACGTGGAGTAATGTTTAGCAAGCTTGTTTTGCAAGAACAATTGCGACTGAACAGTGAGTTCGATCCTCACTGGGTGCCCCAATCTTTCTGCCTTGACCTATATCTAAGTTACGCTGAGAAAATCACCTTAACCCCTCTCTCTCTCTCTCTCTCTCTCTCTTACACAGCTAATAACCCCATTTTACAGCAAACTTACACGATAAAATCTCTCTCTCTCTCTCTCTCTCACTCTCTCTCTTCGTTATATTCATATTTTCTCACTCTTCCCTCCAACTAGCAGTTTCGTAAACACAGGTATAATTGTAAGTGCATGCACCTATATGTAACTAATTAAATCTACCTTAACAAGTGTTTGCAATTTTATCAGTTATCTGCTGATATATTCTTCCAGATTTTAAGCTCTGTTAATAATAGTTAAAGAATTTGGCTGTTAAGTACATTGATAACTTGGATAGATCGCAGAATTTACTGGCACGTTTCTTAGAATTCATTCCTTATATTCCGAATTCGCCAAGACGAAAATCTACGATTATAGCAAACAAACATTTGGACATGGATTCATTTCTCGATGAGGAACCCATTCTAAAGTTTCAATAAATAACTAAATATTCCAAGAATCTATCACAGACACTGACAAGTCTGCTATTCGTCCATGCATTGAATATTACTGTAACATCTGGTCTGCTACTTATGCTATGCATTTAGAAATTTCTGATGGACTACAATGAAGATTCTGCAATGTTTTTGGTCCTGACAAAACATTTCGACAGGAAACACCCATCCTGATATTGCCAAACTTGACGTTGCTTAACATGTCAGCCGTTATCCATTACACCACCCGCACATCCAAGCTTACAGTACTTACTATTCCCAAGCAAACACCCATCCTGATATTGCCAAACTTGACGTTGCTTAACATGTGATATAGCCGTAAGCTTTTGAAGAGGAGCGGAACACAATCTAATATCTATTTTCTCCCTGGGCAAATAAATATGAATAAAATAGGCGAGTTTCCGTTTGACAAGAGGCGGTACACAATCTACCGCCAAACGTTTTGTATAATTATCAGAGGAATATTCCCGTTTTGGGGGGTTTTTTATTGGCTTCTAAATAATTTATTACTTTCTCTTTTGTATGTTCTGCAATTCCAGCCCATCGCTCCGTTTTTCCTTCCCTGAAATTTCGGAAGAAAAATAAAAAAATAAAAACTCAGCATTATACCTGAGTGACCAGCGAAGCATTTTTTCTTTAAAGCTGTAATTGAAAAGATGTCTTCTGGCCCCAGTGATATTTCAGTTTTTGTTTGATATATCCTTAAGAAAATGTTGATATAATTTTTTTTTCCACATCTGCTTTTGATAACGATTCTCTCACAAAACTAATGCAATTATTAAATCCATATATATATATATATATATATATATATATATATATATATATATATATATATATATATATATATATATATATATATATATATATAAATAAAAAAAAAAAGAACAGTAAGATATAAAATCCGGTGTTCTTATAGCAAAATAGTGCTCAATGTAAATTTACAGAGCATTAATATTATAAATTAATTGATTTAAAATATGGATTTATTTTTCGCTACACAGTTTCAACCATGTTTCAAAAATAAACTAAAACCCTAATTTTATTTTTCAAATAAATTAAAAGCATTAGTTCTATTTCAAAGCGAATTTTGGAGTAACTTTTAAAATTTACCGGGTTTTAAATACACAGCTAAATCACGTTTCCATGGTTTACAGAATATTCTACTCAAATTGAACACAGGGGTGTCTAGATTTTCCTTATGACAGTATCATTGTATCAGTTAATAGCTACATTTTGGTAAGGGGTGAGGATGTATTTTACACTGAAACCTGACGTCAGTTGAATGGATGTCGTCTGAAAAAAAAAAAAAAAAAAAAAAAAAAAAAAAAAAATTTTTAACGTCAAATTTTCAACGTGATTTTTTTTACAATACTTTTTATTTAACTACGATTTGAAATATTTTCCTTTTTAACATTTGATATTCTTTTTTAGAACAGTCAAATGTATTAGACTCCATTATATTATGTAGGATTATTTTAACATTAAGTTTAATTATGATGAGGTTTTTTTTTTTTTTTTTTTTTTATATGACTATGACAGCAGAAATGGTTCTTAATTTCACTGATTCAGTAAACTTTTCTTTTATATTAAACCTATTATTATAATATTTCCTGAGGGGTCATTCAAAGCTTACAATGGTATTTCATATTAATTTTTTATTTTACTAAAATTTTATTCTTTTTTAATGCGTGTAGTATTATTTAAAGAAATTTGTTTAGAATTCATTCAATTTAACTACAATTTTAATTACAAATTCAAAATTACAACTTTAAAATTTTAAAATATTTTCATTGTTTAGTTTTAATAGACTATATTACTTTATAACAGAAGGAATTACTCATATTAAGTAAGATTATTTTTCCATATCAAAGTATATGGGGGGCTAAGTCATTTTCAGATTTAGTAAACTTTATTTATTTATTAATTAATTAATTTATTTATTTCAAAATATATGTAACCTAATTAATAAAGTTTCATATGTATGTATAAATTTGTTAGAATTCATTTTATTTTACTACAATTTTAATTTCAATTTTAAAATTTTTTATAACTTTAAAATTTTAAAATATTTTCATTGTTGTTTTAATTTAGACTATTCCAGATAATTACCCTATCGCAATTTTAAACTTTTAATTTAGATATTATTTAAGTAATATTAATGTTTTACAAAACTATCTTCCTGAATTAGTAAACTTTATGTATTTTCGGTTTAAGAAAATGAGGTTAAAAATATATAAAACTCAGCATTAATGTTTCTCATGTGAGTACAAAAGGACCATTCAAAGCTTACATCTTATGGCATTTCATATTAATTTTTATTTTACTATATATTTTTTTTTTCTTTTTTAAAGCGTGTAGTATTATTTGAAAAAGATCATTCAATTTAACTTTAATTTTAGTTTCTTTTAAAATTACAAACTTTAAACTTTGAAATATTTTCATTGTTAGTTATATTTATATTACTTTTGAAGGAATATTACCTTAGTAACAAAAAATTATTTTTCAATATCCAAGATATAAATTTTTTTAAACCACATTTGTAATTTTGGACTTAACAAAAATTAGAGTCATTTCTCTCAGTAAACTTTAATTACTTAATTTATTTATTTATTTTAAAAATGACACTGACAGTAATTTCATATGTATTCCAGAACAGTTAGAATTCTTTTATTTCTCCATTACAATTTTAAATTACCACATTAAAATTTTAAAATATTTTCATGGTTAGTTTTAATTATATATACTTTTTATAACAGAAGGATAATTATCATAGTAATATATTATTTTCCATAACAAATATATATATAAATTACAATTTTTAAATATTATATTTAAATATTTATATATATACAAAACTATCTAATATTTCTATTTAGTAAACTTTATGTATTAATTAAATTTTTATTTTAAATATATGTAACCCGTTAAAGTTTTTATTTACAAAAAGAACAATGGGATACAACTGATTTTTGAATAAATCAGTTTGTTCATTTTTAATGACACAAATAAGTCTTATACGTTTTAAAATACAGTTTAAACAGAAAAATATATTAAAATATTTGTCTGATTTAATCAGTAAATTTTATTACTTATATATATATATATAGAGGACACGGGTCGTTTATATATATATATATATATATATATTCTTTTGATGCCAGTGTGTTTGTGAGTGTTGTTGAATCTTTTTTGAATTCAATACCTATAAAATATTAAAAATTAAAATTCTTAGACACACTGGGTTTGTAGTTTTATCTTAATATTTTATGTTTTGTTATTTCAATTAATTTGCAGCTTCGACTTAGTTTCGGCCAGCATGGCCATTTTTCAGGAGAAAAAAAATAAAACAGTCATTTTCATTTTATATCCTAGTTTTGTTAGTAGCAGCGAACTACTTGGAGCTGAATTTGACTATCGTTTCTAAATAGAAATTATATATATATATATATATATGGTGTTGGGTTTTTTATATATATATATATATATATATATATAATAATTTTATATTCTTTATATATTTTCTAATTCTAATATCTAAAGTTCGTTACTATATATCGTCCTGTACAAACCAATATCATTGTAAAATAGAGTAAAATATTTCAAAAGTTCTATAAAAAAATCTTTAATTTTTAAGATCGAAAAAATTTTTTACCGTTAACAAATGTATATTTATTAATATACCCATCATAGCTCTACTTTAACTACATTATGCTGATTGATTTTGCTGTGTATTTAAAACCATTTTAAATTAAATTAAGAAATTAAATTTATTTAAAAGAAATAAAATTGGGGTTTTGCTTATCTGCCTATGCACTAACCATAAAATTTTAAACAATTAATTTATAATATATTATATATATATATATATATTCTTTTTATCGCAAGCATATGCAAAATAAGTAAAAAAAAAATTATAAACAGAAAATATATTAAAATAGTATCCAGTTATTTTATTTATATTCACACTGGATTTGTTTTTTTATTTTATGTTTTGTTACAATATTTCTTCGACATACATCAGGAGAAAAAACAAAACAGTCTCTCCATAACATGTTATAATTTTAGAATAATATATATATATATATATATATATATATATATATATATATAAATATATTTTGTTTGTTTACAAAAATTTATTAATATCATCATAGCTCGCTACATTAAGAGTTCACCATAAATTAAATTCATAAATATTTTTCTTATGTTTGCGAAGGAATACATAGCCATATTTTAAACAAAAAATATTATTATAATATATATATTCTATATATATGTATGGAGCACTGTCTTCTTAAAAAAAAAAAAAAAATACTAATGGACTCCGGATTATGCACCCAACGTGTTCTTTTCTAATTTCTGCATACCTGCGCATTTATATATATATTAAGAAATGGACAAGGTCCGACAATTTATTTATTAAAGACATTTTATTATGTTTAACGTTGTTATTTTTATAGATTTAAGTATTTATCATAAACAGAGCATTTGCTTAAATACTTGTATCTATAAAATAACAACGTTAAACATAATAAAATGTCTTTTAATTTATATATATATATATATATATATATATATATATATACCTTGATATTTTCTATCTATCTATCTATCTATCTATCTATATATATATATATATATATATATATATATATATATGTG